TACTTTATATATACTATATATATATATATATATATATATATATATATATATATATATATATATATATGTGTGTATATGTGTATATATATATTTTTTGGGGGATTTGCTTGTTTATGTTTATTTTTTATTTTGTTTATTTTTCGTTTAATACATACATACATACACCAAGCTCCTCGGCGTCTCTATAGATAAACTAAATTGGAAAATACACGTCAGTATACAAGTTATCAAATCCTCCAGTTTTCGTCTCCACGTCCTCCGCCAACTTAAGTTCCTCGGAGTTTCTGCGTCCGAGCACCTCAGTGTTTACTCAACATTCGTACTCCCAAAGCTCACCTATGCCTCCCCTACCTGGTCTTCCTCCCTAAATGCCACTGACCCTCTCGGCTCTACTCTAATCATCACCACGACCTCATCTGCAAATTTGGTGAGAAGCTTCTGCACCATCCTCACACCGGCTCCAACTGCCACCCGAGATCCCTCGTCCGCGAATTGCTGTTCGACACCACAACCACATCCAGTCCATACGTGCACGAACTGGTCGTTATAAGAACAGCCCAGTCCCAACCATTGTAAAAAATATCAACAACTTGTAATCAACCAGTGTATTCACTCCCAGCCAATCTTACGTTTTTGCACTGTTACCATGTTGAAATGTCCTGTAATATAACCTCCCCACGTTGTTATTATATATCATATTTGTATCACTTATGTTACTTGTATATTATTTGTCAATCAAGTGACCCTTTCCCTAATTATATAACTATTATTACGTCCATATATACATACATACATACATACATACATACATACATACATACATACAAACAAGTTCTTGACACATGACGAGAATAAAATGTTACGTGACTCACATATCTTACTCAGTGACTCAGGTTAGGGTGTCGCGTGAGTAGGGCGAGCAGTGCGTGCGTACGTGCGTGCTTGCTTGCGTGTGTGTGCGTGCGTGCTTGCGTGTGTGTGTGTGTGTGTGTGTGTGTGTGTGTGTGTGTGTGTGTAAGGGGTCAGAAGGTCAGAGTTGATGGTCACAGCAGTGTGTTGTGTCTGGCGTGAGTGTGTTAATACAGTATCTCGCTCGATTACAGGTTTCCCCCGAGTTACTTAACCTGTACTGTCACGTCTTAGCTAGATTGGTAGTAGTGGTAGTATTAGTAGTTGTAAGTAAGGTTGTAGTATTAGTACTTTTAGTTTCTAGTAGTTGTAGTTACTAGTAATAATAGTAGAAAAAATAGTAGTATTGGCGGTGAATATTGAGAGGAATTGATACCAATAGTAGTAGTAGTGACAGTTTTTAGTGGTAGTAAGTGGTCCAACTAGTAGTAGTGGTGATGGTGGTTAATGGTAGGAAGTGGTGCTGTTAGCAATAATATCAGTAGTAGTAGTTAAAATAATTTTGTAAAATTTCACAAGGCAAAAAGTTCCAGTTAAAAAAAGAAATACTCATAATTTTATCGTTAATTTGAGGAGAGGACTTACCCCAAAATACGTTTTTATTTATCGTCTTTTTTTTAAGGGTCAAAAGCCATTCATTAGCAAAGTATGCACTTTATTTTTTTTAAGTGAACAATTTAGGACAATTTCTTTAAAGGGTCAATTCTGGGGAGGTACAATATTATGTGTTCATCTGTCCGTCCGTCCGTCCACTCGTCCTTGAAGCCACACAAAAGTAGTAATGATATTGATGCCGGTGGTCAGGGAGAGAGTCACTTGAGCTTGGCACTGGGACATATGCGCACCTCTGAATTAACGACTACTGTTTGACGTACATTACGGCGGTGTGTGTGGCCCGAGTACACACACACACTCTCTCTCTCTCTCAAAAGACTGTCCAATCACCATCTTCGAAACTGACAAACCGATTGACTTCATACTCATGTCCTGGTTACTCAAATTTTGATTGGTTCGTGGTCGCGGTTGGACGATTTCCTTGGTATCTAATTGGTCGAGTGAAAGAATGGCTGGACCAATGACAACCCGGTTTCTTCCCTTTGTACTCTTTTTATCTACTTTGTTTTATCTTTTATTCTCTCTTCCTCGGTCTTCCTTCATCCACCTCAAATTCTTTATCTCCTTTTCTTCTCCTTCTCCTCTCTCCTCCGTATCCATTTTCTTATCTTCTTTCTTCCTCCATCCACCTAAAGCTCTTATCCCCTCCTATCCTCCTTCTTCTTCCTATTCCTCCTCCTCCTCCCTATCCCTCCTCCCCTTCTTCCTCCTGTTCCTTCTCTTTCTTCATCCTCCTCCCCTCCCTCTTCCTTTCTTCATCCTCCTAAAGCTCTTCACTCCACGCTACTAAAATATTTTAATGTCAACGTGTTTATTATGTTCCCTTACTAGTGGTCTTAGGGGCTCAACCAGTGCTTTATTATTATTATTAGCCTATTATTATTATTATTATTATTATTATTATTATTATTATTATTATTATTATTACTTTTTTCGTTTATATATATACTACAAGTGAACTTGGGCCCTTTGTGCCCAGTGAAAGTTTGAACGCTCGTGCTTGGCTAGCGCGCAACCGCCGTCCGGCTGACAGCGTACAGCGACAAAATGGTTAATAAATGCCTTCCTAAAGAAACCATCGACATGGGACCAGGTTTGTTCCAATCTACGAAATTTTTGCGATTTTTCCACCAAGTTTGATGAAAAACGATTGTGCCGTTGCCCAGAACAGACAGATAGGCACACACACACACACACACACACACACACACACACACAGCTATTCCTATAGTATATTAGATACCTAACATAGCATAACAAGACCTAACCTAACCTTACCTTATCTTACGTTATATAACCCAATCCAACCCAACCTAACTTAATCTTTCATAATGTAACCTAATGTAATATAACCTAGCCTAACCCCCTCAGACAGCGTTAGGGTGGTTAATCATCAGGTGAAATAAGCATTGGTACCTGACCAGACCTAACTTGTTCCAGTGTTCTCTTTAGAGTGTACAGTACCAGTCTCTTGTTCCATTGTTCCATTTATGTATGTGTTGTTCCAGTGTTCTGTCTATGTTCTATCCTGTTTCATTGTTCCCGTGTTCTGTTTCTATGATGTGTTCTTTTGTTCCAGTGTTCTGTCTATCTTTCGTTTCGTTGTTCCACTGTTCCATTTGTTATTTTGTTCCAATGTTCTGTTTCTTTGTTCCAATATTTTGTCTATATTCTATTTCGTTGTTCCACTGTTATTGCTTCCATGCTCTGTTCTGTTGTTCCACTGTTCTTTTTGTAAGTTCTGTTTCTCTTCCACTGTTCTGTTTGTAACTTCTGTTTCTCTGTTCTACTGTTCTATTTCGTTGTTTTACTGTTCTGTTTAATAACTCCAGTGTTCCTTCTGTTTGTTTTGTTCCCGTTGTGCCGGTGTCCCATTTACTCGTGTACCATACCATCGTTCCAGTGTCCCAATTTTAGATACAGAGTTCGTACCCTGAAGAAATTGCAGAGATTTTCCAGGAATGCTTAGAGAGATGAGAATTACCTCCACCTGTTATTGGCATTCCGCCCTTATAACACTTCCATCCGGGGGGCAGTGCTATAATCCATTGAATATTATGTGCGCAAAGGGAGGAATGGACTTGGAAACACACTACAACAAAATTCAGCCCATAAGAGCCCGCACCGATAGATATAAGAACAGCACCATCCCATCTATTGTTAAAATAATAAACAACTCTTGATTTATGTACTGCACAGCCCTGTAAATGTATTCATTGCATATTATATCATTATGTCTAAATCTAATGTAAGTCTGTATATTTTCAGCCACCGGCTGCAACTCTATTAATAAACCGTCTATTATTATTATTACATACATACATACATACAAGCACATACACTTCACAAATACCGAAAATATACGTTATTATTGGTTTTAAATTTCTAATATAATAATTTGTCTCGTAGTGGGAAAAAATAGAAATGACGTTACCTGAAAATTTAATATTTTCCCTGATACAAAAAGGTAATAATTTGTCATATTTTTTACGGTGCCTTAAATCTAAAAAAAAATTTCTCTCCCTAGAAACCTCGATGATACGACACACAATAACCTAACCTAACCAAATTTAGAAATAATCAGTCGTATGGGTTAATGCTATCGTGTGACGGACCTCATCCCCGTCTTACTGCTGATGTTAGAATGTATCCCTGTCTCTGTTCATGTTAGAATGTACAGTACACGTCTCACTGCTCATGTTAGAATGTATACCCGCCTCACTGCTCATGTTAGAATGTATACCCGTCTCACTGCTCATGTTAGAATGTATACCTGTCTCACTGCTCATGTTAGAATGTATACCCGTCTCACTGCTCATGTTAGAATGTATCCCCGTCTCACTGCTCATGTTAGAATTTATACCTGTCTCACTGCTCATGTTAGAATGTATACCCGTCTCACTGCTCATGTTAGAATGTATACCCGTCTCACTGCTCATGTTAGAATGTATACCCGTCTCACTGCTCATGTTAGAATGTATACCCGTCTCACTGCTCATGTTAGAATGTATACCCGTCTCCTGCTCATGTTAGATGTATACCCGTCTCATGTTAGAATGTATACCCGTCTCACTGCTCATGTTAGAATGTATACCCGTCTCACTGCTCATGTTAGAATGTATACCCGTCTCACTGCTCATGTTAGAATGTATACCCGTCTCACTGCTCATGTTAGAATGTATACCCGTCTCACTGCTCATGTTAGAATGTATACCCGTCTCACTGCTCATGTTAGAATGTATACCCGTCTCACTGCTCATGTTAGAATGTATACCCGTCTCACTGCTCATGTTAGAATGTATACCCGTCTCACTGCTCATTGTTAATGTTGTTACTACTTCATCATCATCCTTGCGTCACGACATGTAAGCGGTGATTTTAGCTCAGATTGTCATTTTACTCTCAAGAAAAGATGAAAGATTAAACAAACTAGTGTGTGTGTGTGTGTGTGTGTGGGCAGTGTTTGGTTAACTTACTTAGCGTGGTCCAGATCACGGGGTAACTTTATTCTAGAAGTTGCTGCATATCCCACCTAAGTTGGTCCGTCCGTAGGTGTGGCGTGGGCTCTACGTGGGTGGCGTGGTATGTCCGTACGTGGGTGGCGTGGACCGTACGTGGGTGGGTGGCGTAGATCGTCCGTATATATACGTGGGTTGCGTGGAGAATCCTTGGGTGTGGCGTGGACCGTGCCTGGATGGGTTGAAGTGTTCGTGAGTGGCGTGGACTGTACGTGGATGGAGTGGACCGTACGTGGAGGATATTGTGGTACTTGGAAGGGGAGCCGCTCGTCAAGTGATGGTTGGTGGTAGTGGCGATGACGGCGGCGGTGACAGAACTGGGAGACGCGCTACGTCGCTCCCGTGCAGGTAGTGGTGGTGGTGTGTCGTAGTCTCGCACCACCACAAGCTGTCCTCACTTCACCACCACCACCACCCCGCATCACCATCACCCCTAATCACCACCACCCCGCATCACCATCACCCCTAATCACCACCACCCCTCATCACCACCACCCTTGACTTCCATCACCACCCCTCACCACCATCACCCTTGACTACCACCACCACCCCTCACCACCACCACTCACCACACCACCACCCCATCTACCATCCTCATCACCACCACCTCATCCACCACCCTACCACCATCACCCTTGACTACCACCACCACCACCACTCACCACCACCTACTCATCACCACCACCACCCCAGCCTCCACACACCACCCCTGACCACCCTACCACACCACATTTTCCAATACTACACCCACCACCCCCAGTAGCCACTACACCACCACCACCTATTTTTCTACCACCCCCTGACCACCGCTTCTCGTGGGTTAACATATAAGAGTTCTATCTCATAATGTTCAATCGTTGATGGACAAGTGTGTTGCTAACTTTAAGATTATACGGTATTTGTATTACTGAGCATAGAAAGACGTTCATACGACTCTCTCTCTCTCTCTCTCTCTCTCTCTCTCTCTCTCTCTCTAATACTGTAAATAACACCGACGTTACCGCTTTCACCACTGTATTCCACCAGTCAAAACCGTTGTCACATTAAAACACAACCAAACACACGTTACTCGTGATGGTTAGCAACAATGAATGGGTTGTTTGTCTCATTCATCAGGTCACGTCACTTGGCCCATCAGTATATAACACGCCGGTAGAGCTATTCTTGGTTTAGGTCAACTTACTGTTGTCACTTTACTTCAACTACCATGATCAATAAAGGTGCTTCAACTACCATGTTGATGTAAGGTGCTTCAACTACCATGATCAATGTAGGTGTTTCAACTACCATGATCAATATAGGTGCTTTATACCATGATCAACATGGGTAATTCAACTACCATGATCATTATAGCTGCTTTAACTATACCACGATCATTATAGGTGCTTCAAATACCATGATCATTGTCGGTGCTTCAACTACCATGATCAGTACAGGTCTTCAACTACCATGATCAATACAGGTCTTCAAGTAGCATGATCATTACACTGGACAACAAAGATTTTGCTGCTGGTGTAAAAACATATATTTTAGACTAAATCACGTATGCTGATTCTGAATCTAAACTCAGAATTTTCCCAGCACATCAGGATTTTAAGTTATACATACAATATGATCAAATTACACTGGGCTGCCTAGCACCAACCCAGAACAATTGGATTAATAATTTGGTTTTAAAGGTTTCAAATGTAATGTATACCTTTTAAGAATGCATCTAGTTTGGTAGACCCTCAGAAAGTCTACCTTCCACCGCTTCACATCAAACTCGGCCTTATGAAAAACTGTGTAAAAGCAATGGATCATGGCGGTAATGGCTTCCAGTACCTCAGAGAGAATTTTGGCGCAGGGACAAATAATGTTAAACTCAAAGCAGGCATTTTCGTTGGGCACCATATCCGGGAACCGATGTGTTATCGCGAGTTCAAAAAAAAACTGAACCCACTTGAGTTTGCAGCATGGGAAGCATTTGTGTTGGTTGTGCAGAACTTTCTTGGGTACCATAGAGCTGAACAGTATGCTGAATTAGTGGATAATATGATAAAGGCCTATTAGCGAATGGGCTGTAGGATGTCTCTTAAAATGCACTTCTTGTATTCTCATCTTGATTTCTTTCCACCTAATCTGGGTGAGGTAAGCGATGAGCATGGTGAAAGGTTTCACCAAGACATGTCGGTGATGGAAACTAGGTATCAGGGCCGGTTCAACCCAAACATGATGGGTGATTAATGCTGGTTCCTACAACGGGAGACCATTTCCACACACAAACCCAAGAGTCTCACACACCTTTGAACACTTCCGAGTCGGTGCTTACGCTGAATATATTGAAATTGGTTTAGTCTGTTCTAATGTTTTTATTGGGGTCTTTTTCTGTAATTTGTTATGTTCTTGAGTCGTATACCACGCATCATAAACGTGGAGATCAATCATTATCTAAATATGATGTGAAAATAATTACTAAGCACGGTTGTTAGGTGTACAATGTGGCAATATCCAATCATAAAGTGGCGGGTTTCATTAATACATATACATAACTAGAAAACCTGACGTGATGGATGAATGTTGACTTCAGATATGAAATCAGCGGCCCAGATTTACTCAAAAACACCTTCATTTCCCTTAGCAAACAAAAAGGTTTTTTGTTGCCCAGTGCTTCAACAACCATGATCATTATAGGTGCTTCAACTACCATAATCATTGTAGGTGTTTCATTTACCATGATCATTATAGGTGCTTCAACTACCAAAATCATTGTAGGCACTTCAACAACCATGATCATTACAGGTACTTCAACTACCATAATCATTATAAGTGCTTCAACTACCATAATCATTATAAGTGCTTCAACTACTATGATCATTATAGGTGCTTCAACTACCATAATCATTGTAGGTGCTTCATTTACCATGATCATTATAGGTGCTTCAACTACCATAATCATTACAAGTGCTTCAACTACTATGATCATTATATGTGCTTCAACTACCATAATCATTGTAGTTGCTTCATTTACCATGATCATTATAGGTGCTTCAACTACCATAATCATTGTAGGTACTTCAACTATTATGATCATTATAGGTGCTTCAACTACCATAATCATTATAAGTGCTTCAACTACTATGATCAGTATAGGTGCTTCAACTACCATAATCATTGTAGGTGCTTCATTTACCATGATCATTATAGGTGCTTCAACTACCATAATCATTACAAGTGCTTCCTTCATTCAGTATGCTTAATACCATAATCATTACAAGTGCTTCTACTATGATCATTATGCGTGCTTCAACTGCCATAATCATTGTAGTTGCTTCATTCTCATGATCATTATAGGTGCTTCACTTACCATAATCATTGTAGGTGCTTCATTTTTATGATCATTATAGGTGCTTCATTTACCATGATCATTATAGGTTGCTTCAACTACCATAATCATTGTAGGTCTTCAACTACCATGATTATTATGAGGTATTTTAACTACCATAATCATTATAAGTGCTTCAACTACTATGATCATTATAGGTTGCCAACTATCTTAATCATTATAAGTGCTTCAACTACATGATCATTATAGGTGCTTCAACTACTAATCATTGTCAGTGCAATACCATGATCATTATATGATTTAACTACCATAATCATTATAAGTGCTTACAACTACTATGATCATTATGGTTGCTTCCTACAATCATTATAAATGCTTCAACTACCATGATCATTATGGTGGCTTCAATTACATAATCATTGTAGGTGCTTCAACTACCATAATCATTATAGGTGCTTCAACTACCATAATCATTATGGTGCTTCAACTTCACTATGATCATTATAGGTGCTTCAACTACTCACAATCATTATAAGTGCTTCAACTACTATTGATCATTATGGTGTTGCTCAACTACACATAATCATTATAAGTGCTTTAACTACCATGATTATGGTGTTATTCCTTCATAATCATTATAAGTGCTTCAACTACATAATCATTATAAGTGCTTCCTTCATAATCATTACTTCAACTACCATAATCATTATAGATTTGAAATTATTCTTTCTACCATAATCATTATTAGTGCAACTACTATGATCATTATAATGCTTCAACTACTATGATCATTATAGGTGCTTCATTCTACCATAATCATTATAAGTTCTTCAACTATCATAATCATTATAAGTGCTTCCTTCCATAATCATTATAAATGCTTTAACTACTATGATCATTATAGGTGCTTCAACTTTAATCATTATAAGTGCTTCCTTCCATAATCATTATAAGTGCTTCAACTTATATCATTATAAATGCTTCCTTCTATGATCATTATAGGTGGCTGCTTCCGTCATCATTATAAGTGCTTCACTTCTGCTCTCTCTCTCTCTCTCTCTCTCTCTCTCTCTCTCCTGTGGTAGTCGAGGGTTTCATGTCGTGTTTTTGTACAGTAATTAAAGTAAGGTACAGTGTTTGTGTTCTTACCAAAGGTGTAGGTTAGGTTAATGCTGGCCAGGGTGTGTGTGTGTGTGTGTGTGTGTGTGTGTGTGTGTGTGTGTGTGTGTGTGTGTGTGTGTGTGTGTGTGTGTGTGTGTCTCGTGATGTCAATGGCTAGTAAGATTACGGATGATGATGATGGGGTGAGAGGGAGGGAGGGTGTATTGACGTTACTCTGCTCCTTCTCTCTCTCTGCCTCCCTTTCCTCTACCCCCCACCCCCCATCCAGCCCGTGCATATTAATTTGTACTAAAATATATCATAGAGGTTCAGGGGCGACGGGTGGTGGTGGTGTTGGGTATTGTAGTGATATTGTATGATTGTGGAGATGTGTGGTAGTGGTTTTGAGTCCCTATACTACGAGAGAGGCTTTTTTGCACACACACACACACACAGTTATACTGAGACAGTTTCAGTAGTTCATGACTGCCTTCCGACCTACTTTCCTGCTGGCGGTAAATGCTTCTGGTGATTTGTCGTTGAACTACCTTACTTACCTTTACCATTACCTTACCTTTACCCCACCCCACCTCTACCTTACCCTACCCCCAACCTCATATTTTAATTCACCCTTATACCCTCCCCACCTTTACTCTTTACCCTCCTTTACCTTTGTCCCCAGCTTATCTTTACCTTACCCTACCTTAACTCTATCTCACCCATTTCACCTCACCCCACCTACCTTAATCTTTACTCTCACCCCACCCTTAATTACTCCTATCTTACCTTACCTTACCTTACACTTTAACCTTTACCTTACCCTCATCTCACCTTATCTTACCCTCAACCCCACCATACTTTACCTTACCTTACCTACCTTACCTTACCCCACCATACTTTTACTTCACCTTACCCATCTTCACC